TATTTTTTTAATATAAACAATTAAAGAGTTTGAAAAGAATATATCTTCCATTTGCTGCAAAATCTTGTTTTCACAATTTTATGACAAAAAATTACCGTAGAAACTGGAAGAGTAAGTACCAAAGTAATTACCTTATAAATAAGACTATAGACCTTTAATTTTCTTGTCTCCCCAAGCCAATAACATAACTCAGAAATATTTGACAAATTTTGAAAACCCTAATCATAACTTGTTTCAATTTCATAATATTGAAATTTTGATTTCAAATGAAGTTTCTCCATTTTTAAAAAATCCTGAGAATAGTATTTTTTTTACAAGCTCACAAATATAATCAATATTGAAACTCTTGCACCCGTTTTTAGGATCTAAAACACCACCAAAAGTCAATAGTTCTATTGCATTCTCATTAAACCTACAATTTAATTCTTGCAATTTGGAATCTATTGCAGCATTGAAAATATCTATTTGATAATTATGCTCAACAATAATAATATCAATTATACAATTTTTTGTAATAATAAAAAATCAATAAGTTTTATTACTTAAATATTACTCTCTCCATATTATAATAATAGATTTTTTGTTTTATCTTCAAATTAAGGATTTGGAAATAATCTTTATTTTACCTATTTTATACTTTAAAAATAACTAAAAATAAATATCTACTTGAATCAAAATATAAATAATTAAAATTAAGAGATAATCATAGGGTTAAAGTAAACAAAACTATTTGTCTTTCTTTAAATTAAGAAAAAACCACTACTATTTTGGGACAAATTTTAAATAAAAAACATCTATTATTCTAGAACAGGGAGAGTATATTAATTTTTATTGTTAGAATATATTTATTAATAAGTATAAGACAAAATTTTAAAATAAAACAAAAAAACTTACAAAACTTGAAAGTTAAAATCCAAAATTCATATAAAAAGAGATAATATCATCTTCACCTTTTTTATAGTTAGTGGTCCCTTTTGGCGATCCCTCTACTTTCAAGCTTTTAAGTTTCAATGACAAGAGAATAGTGCATAAGTGTTGCCATGGCGTCGACAAACGGGATGAGCGGTAGTCTTTTCTTTTCTTTTTTTTTTTTTATGGAGTTGTTAGGTACTTAAGGTTGAAGGAGATTGTGATTGGGATTGGAGAAACATGTTAGAAGACACGAGAATCTCTTTGTTTTTTTCTTTTTCAGAGAGTTTTGTAGATAATTGTGGGTCTTGAGATATGTTATTTAAATAATAATAAATAATTAAATTGTTAAAACGAATAATAAATAATACGAATTATATTTGGACTCCTAAAATAACTCATTATTACTGAATCTCTTTTTATTTTATATGTTTTAACAATTAAAAATATAATATTTAAAATTTTAGTAATAATAATTAGTAAATTAATATTGTTAAATGTTAATAATTAAGATTCAATTCTTAAATCTAATGAACAGATTACCGACCTCAATGAAATGCATGATCGTTAAACCACTCGATGGAATTCTATGTAAATGGTTTAAGAAACAAAATTTTCCGTGAACCCAACTCAGCACTGAATGGCTATTGGCTGATGGCTAACCCACTTTCTATATATTCAATTTGATAAGGGGTCTTGTAGGTTATAGGTTATAGCTTCTATAAAGTATCTCAACGAAACCA